TAATGGATTAATCTTTAGGAAAACGTCTCTCGATATTCTCCCAACTTGATTTAATCAACAATTCAACAAACTCTTTCGATTACTTAAAAGATCACTGAATTAAACCAAATAAAATAATGCAAAGATAATCACCAAAAATATTCCTCTTTCGATTAAATAAACTGGTGAATAAAGTTGCAATCAATTCAAAGCTCCATAAATAAATTTATGCAAAGAACTAAAGTTAAATTCCACAAATATCAATCAAAATATCATATCCATCAAATCGTAAAGTAAACTACTCCATAATCATGGAGAAAGTCATCACAAATAAAGTTGAAGAATAAGAAAATATGAATTCAATCCAAACTCGGGTGTTGAGTTGAGGAAAGAATGATGAATCCTTGTGCTTTGAGTCTCCAATACTCTTCCAATCTTCCGTAGGTCAAAAAGTCCTCTCAAAAACATATTTTTAGTGTATTTATACCAAGTCGGAATGTGCCTGAACCAAACTACCCTATTTGAGCCGAAGTGTATTTTGCTCAATTGTAAACTCTCTGAACTTAGCTTGTCTGACAAACTTTTGTATTAATGTGTCGTGCCCTGCCATGCGCCCTGCGTCGCATTAGTGTATTTTTCTGTCAAACCCTAAAACTCCAAGTCTCTAAACTTCTCAAACTTCTTACAAACTTTTATACTAATGTGACGCTTAATGCCACGTCTTATGCGATGCACTAGTACATTTTGCTCTAACCCTTGCGCTTTCTTCCAACTTCCGTATGCAACGTCGCTCCACGAGCCCCGGATGCAATTCCAGTTTAATTTCTTGGACTTTTACTCACACTTCAAAGCTCCAAATTATTCGATTTAGCTCTAATTTATCTTTTTAACTCGGAATCATTTCCTACAAGGAATAAAACACGTAATAAGTGCAAATCATCATCATTTAAGCTCACAAGTAAAGTGCAGTAATTAGAGTGTAAAAAAAGGCTAAAACACGTGTTTATAGCCTACCATCAAGAGCCTAAGATGTTCAAATTAAAAGTGCGAGCAAAATACTAATGGCGGAGTATGGAGAAACTCAATAATATTTTTTGAAAGGCACAACTACCAAGGAGAACATGAAACCTACATTGGCCATGAACATAGGCAAATATGTTGGGTATTCATAGAGAAAAATTGGAGCTAGAAGGTTTTAAAAAATTAAACTTGAATGATTTTATTTATCTATTACATATGCTTGAGTTTTTCTTAAAACTTTATTATTGAAGTATTGGTAGTTCTTGATATTTTTGATAGCATATTTTGTTAGGGCAATGACAATTCAAAAATATTATTGTCTCCTCTTTGAATTTATGTAAACGATGGTGGTCATTTTAAAATGGCAAGAAGAGTTGACAAGTGAAAGAAGTCAACTTTGGTTTATCAAGATTCTTTCTCTTGCTAGCTTCCTCAGCGTGGAGCTTCTGCAACTCAACCAATTTCTCCCTTTCATTTTCTAAAATAGCTTCTATGTTATGCTTTTCAGCTTGGGCCCGCTCAAGAATCAGCCTAATGTTGTGATTAAGCTCAAACATTTGGAGATCATTTTCCCATACTTGTTAATTATGCTTAAAATTTTTCAGATTAGGTAAGATTCTAACATGTGGACCTCTCATATCACGGATCTTTTCATGCTCATTTTTGCCGAAGAACTCTTTTTCCCCCTTGTTGGTTTCATTCTACATGTCGGGTGCCTATGGAGGTCAAAGGTTTCAGCTCGGGGGTTTAAGAGGAAGAATGTAAGTATTTTTCGAAGTTGGTCTGCTTTAAATATTATTCTCTTTAAAATCATAAACCTTACCTACTGCTTACCTACTATGAACCTTTTCATTAAATTTGTTGCTTTTGATGTACTCTCTTAGTCATATAAATGCAGTTGCCTCGTGCTGCCCTATTACACTATTCGTACTCTCTAAAGCAAAGAAATGCATTTATCTTTTCCTTCATTATTTTGAATATTTCTCTTATTCTTATGTTAAAAACTGTTTTTACTATCTAAAGAATAATGAAACGTTGCAATAGTTAAGTTTTTACTTTCAATCCAAAGAAGAGTAAAACGTTGCAACCATTAATAAAAATAATGATCGAAATTTGTAACCTTTCCTAAGTTAGTAAACGGTTGCAAGTATCAAAATAATTTTGATAATTAACGTACCAATAAATTTAATATGAAACTCTTTCTCTTCACATTCCACCTTGCACCCTATTTTCTCTTCAAAAATCCAGTACAAAGGACATACATACAAGAAATTCAAAAATAACCAAGTAATAATTAAAAAATAGTCATAGTTTCAAAAATAATCGAAATTTAGCCGCTTTTCATGTAAAGATAAATCTGAACGAAAACACTATTCAAAATCCGGAAAATATTCCAGCATAATGTACTGGAGTTCGAATTTTTTACATGTGAACTTCCAGCATAATATATTGGAGTTCTAGCATAATATTTTGGAGTTTCAGCATAATATAATGGAGTTCCAGCATAATATACTAGTCCAACATAATATGCTGGAAGTTCATACACAAGTGCACCAATCTCCAGTATATTATGTTGGAACTTTCCGTGTTGCAGCAAAATAATGGCTATTTTTCAATGACTTTGCAAATGCTGGCTATTTTTCAATTATCAGTCCGAAAATTGACTAGCCCGTGTTATTTTCACCCGGGCCCCAGAATAGAAGAATTTATTTGAACTTCAAATTTGATATCCAAGAGAAATCTGTGTATGATTTCTGACTTCAACTTCTATATGCAAAAGAAATCAGTGCATGATTTGTGACTTAGAGTGTAATTTTCCGAGAAATGATGCCAGAGATGTTCAAATTAAAAGGGCGTGAAAAATACTAATGGCGGAGTGAGGCGAAACTCAAAAATATTTCTTGAAAGGCACAACTACCAACGAGAACAATAAGCCTACATTGCCCATGAACATGGAAAAATACGTTGGGTATTCAAAGAGAAAAATTGGAGCTAGAAGGTTTAAAAAAATAAACTTGAATGATTTTATTTATCTATTATATATGTTTGAGTTTTCCTTTAAACTTTATTATTGAAGTATTGGTAGTTCTTGATCTTTTTGATAGCATATCTTGTTAGTGCAATGACAATTCAAAAGTCTTGTTGTCTCCTCTTTGAATTTATGTAGACGATGATGGACTATTTAAAATGGCAAGAAGAGTTGACAAGTAAAAGAAGTCTACTTTGGATTTTATAATTAAAATTAAGAATAAAATAGAGGGATCTGGTTGATTTCAGAAAGAAAGAAAGAGAGAAAAAGAAATGAAAGAAATTTTAAAAAAATAACAAAATAAGGAAAGAAAAGTTATTAAAAAAAATGAAGATGCTACGTAATACTTTTATTTGGAGGAAATGGTTTATTCTGCCATTGACGGCTTTTCCTGATCTGTTTTAGTCCAAATTTTCTTACCTTTTTTTGGTCTTCTTTTAGTTTTAATTTTTATTTATTTATGAAGTATATGAAATTATTTGACGATAAGAGTTAGATATGGTGCCATACTGCCATTCTCTGGCCAACATTCGTGGTCTAATATTTTATGTTCATCGCTTAGTACTATTAAGATATTGAATACCTATGAATTTTGAAAATCATGTCAACTATAGCTCAGGAATTGGAGGATGTTTGAGAGTAAACTTTATTACGAGTGTGGCATCTCAAATTATTGAGATAATTAGAAAGAGAGAAGTTTTAGAAATTTGGGTATTTCATCCCATCCATAGCATATGCATTTAACTGAATTTTTCTCGTTTATTCCATTTCTTTTTTCGTTTCCTTTTTTAAAATTATTTTAAGTGGAGATATTCTTTTTGTCAGAGAATTTTATAGAATGTTAAAATATTATGAAAAGATGATAAAATCAAAAAAGGATGTTTGATGAGTAAATATTTGATTTTCTTATGAAATATTGATAATAATATTCATCTTTAATTTTTTTATAACTATGCGAAGCCCAGAATGTTACACTAGTCTAAAATAATTATAAGGCATATAAAAAAATACAATAAAAAAATATGAGACACTTTTTTGAGACGGTTGGAGTATACTACTATAAAGTTTTCACGTAACACCGAAATGTGAACGTCTAAGCGGGTGTTTGCATATTTCTTCTGTATTTCATGGTGATTCTATTTTTCCTATGATTATTGTAGTATACTAATATTGTCTCATTTTGTCCTTTTGTCTTTTTGTTTTCTTAAGTCGAGGGTCTTTCGGAAACAGCTTCTCTACTCCTTTGGGGTAGGGGTAAGGTCTGCGTACACACTACCCTCCTCATACCCCATTAGTGAGATTTTACTGGGTTGTTGTTATTGTTGTTGTAAGTGGGTGTTTGGACATAAGAATTGTAAAATTCGGAAAAAAATAAAAAAAATTTCAAATGAAAATGGTATTTGAAAATTAGAATTGTGTTTGGACATGAATACAATTTTGGGTTGTTTTTAAATTTTTGTGAGTGATTTGAAGTGAAAATTTTGAAAAATAACCTTTTAGAGCCCGTTTGAACATAAGAAATTTTTTACTTTTTTTGAGAAATCAATGTTTGGCCATGAAATTTTAATTTTCACTTGAAAATAAATTTTGGAATTTTTTAAAAATTTAAAAAATTCCAAAAGATTATTTTTCAAAATTTTCACTCAGATCTGTCACAAAAATTTAAATACAATCCAAAATTATATTAATGTCCAAACACATCTCTAATTTTCGAAATACCATTTTCATTTAAAATTTCACTTTTATTTTGGAATTTTACAATTCTTATGTCCAAACGCCCACTTAAAGTTTTTTAAATTTTCGAAATATTTAAAATTTATTTTTAAGTGAAAATTAAAAATTTTATGGCCAAACACTGATTTAAAAAAAATTGAAAATGTTTCGGAAAAGTTTTTATGGCCAAACGGGCATTAAGAAACTTCGTCTGGTACCAATTTCAAATTATTTTAATCTTAAATAGCAGGACTCAACGTTTATAAAGAAAAGGAAGAAAATTTGCATTTTGCGTCCATCAGTCAAAATTCATTATAGAAAATCGTAAAATTATGGATTTCGACGGCAATGAGGTGGTAATCGATCTTTCTCCGGTCATCCGCGTCTACAAAGACGGCCACGTGGAACGTCTCTTTGGTTCACCATATGTTCCGCCGTCACCGGAAGACTCCGTTACCGGTGTTTCCTCCAAAGATCTCACCATTTCATCAGACCTCAAAGCCAGAATCTATCACCCAAAGCTCTCAATTACCACTGCTAGTAATAAGAAGCTCCCAATCTTAGTGTATTATCACGGCGGCGGCTTTTGTGTGGGGTCCACTTTCTCTTTCCTCTCCCAACGTTACCTTAACCTCTTAGTTTCTGAAGCTAACATTATTACCGTTTCTGTAGAGTACAGTCTTGCTCCTGAGCATCCTTTGTCTGTAATTTACGATGATTCTTGGACAGCTCTTCAATGGGTCACTGCCCATGTTCTTGAAAACCCAGGAATTAAAAAAGAACCATGGTTAATTGACCATGGAGATTTCAAGAAAATCTTCATCGGCGGCGACAGTGCCGGCGGCAACATAGCTCATAACGTGGTTCTTAGAGCTGGTGTTGAGGGGTTAAATGGTGGTGTTAAGATCTTGGGTGGGATTCTTTCTTTTCCTTATTTTCTGTCGTCGACCGAAAACAGGGGAGATAGTTTGTTAAGTAAGATTTGGGTGTTTGTAAATCCATCAGCTGAGAATGGTATTGATGATCCAAAGATCAATCCTTTTGTTGAAAAAGCTCCGAGCTTGACAGAGCTAGGATGTTCGAGGCTGTTGGTTTGTGTAGCAGAGAAAGATGAGCTGAGAAATTTGGGAATTCGCTATGCTGAAGTTGTGAAAAAATGTGGGTGGAAAGGAGAAGTAGAGGTGGTTGAAGTTGAAGGAGAAGGTCATTGCTTTCAGATTTTGAATCCTGACGGTGAGAAAGCCAAACATCTCATCAAGCGTATTGCTGAATTTATCAAACAGTGACTGCTGTGAAAATATATTCCAAAATGACTTCTTTCACATAATTATCTCAAATGTAATTTCACATTACTGCTCAAACAACCAGTGATGTAAGGAGTTTCTCATATTTTGTTTTATTATTCAGAACATGGCAAAGATCACTCATTGAACTTGAAGATGCAGGTCATTCCTTCCGGACAGGAGTGTTCATACAAATCCGAAATATCGAACCAAACCAAAAACCAAATCAAACCGACCAAAAAAATCGATACTTTTTTGGTTTGGTTTGGTTTTGGTTTTGAATTTTAAAAGCCGATCAAATTTAGTTTGATTTTGGTTTTAATAAAAGTTAACCGAAAAAATCGAATCAAACCGACTATATAAGTAGCTATTTAAATTTATTATTACACCTATATATATGAGTATATTTTTATATAAAGTTTCTAAAATTTTATGGTACATATTAGTCGTTTGTATTTTTAGTCTAGTTCTTTACTATTATAATAATCTAATTCTTTGCTTTTACATTCTAGTTTGATTGGTATTTTTCTTTTACTAAGTACAATAATTTATTTCATATTAAAAATAATTGATTTTTAATTGAGTAATTAAAATATTCATCATTATTTGATTCAATTATCATTAATATATCTTGGTAAATGATAGATTTCTCAAAGGGCAATTGGTTTGATGGTGTTACATTGGAAATGTAGTCGTCGGAGTATGCGTTTGGTAGCGTATATCTCATATTTAAGAAAAAAACTCGATAAATAACCGAAAAAATCGGAAAACCGACAAAACCCGAATCGATAAAAACCCGACTTAATTGGTTTGGTTTGGTTCCAATATTTGAAGAACCGACTTATTTGATTAGGTTTCTTTTTAAGAAAAAAATTGATCCAAATCGAATCATGAACACCCTGCTTCCAGATATACAACCCTGAATCTGAGAAAGCTAAAGATATGATGATGCATTAAGCTTCATTCATTCACAACAATAAATTTTCTACTTAGCTTTCTATATATTGTACTAGTACACTAGTTTGTGTGTGTTTTAAATCCTCTTATTTTATTTTTTTTAGGGTTAAATCCATTTTATTTGAATTCCATTTATGAAGCAATTACTTTGTACGATACAATATCTATATATTTTAAATGGATAATACAACTTCTTATATTAACACTAGGGGTGGAGGTATTGTGCTCGATGCGGGTTCGGTCGAACCCGGTAGCTTTTGTTCAAATCATATATTTGTCTTAAAAAATACATTGAATATGTACAACTTATTAATTTAGAACTCATTAACTTAAAAAGATTACAATTCCGAACCCACAAAGTTCAAATCCTGCCTCCACCTCTAATTAGCAATTTAGCACCCACGGGTATGACCTAATGGTCAATGAAGAGAGTTGATCTCAGGTGTAGAAGCAAAAATACGTAGGTGATTTCTTTAATCTGTTCAAGCTATAGTGGATAAAGTTATCTGATACTTGTGCTGATAAGAGATAGAAGATGCACTGTAAAATTAATTAAGGTATGCACAAGTTAGCTCGTAGACCATGGATATAAAAAAAATCTTATATTAGCTAAACATTTAGTTTTCTCACTAAACGATTAAGACCATTCAACTTATTGCTCCATGTACTCTAATTTTACTTGAAAATTGTTATAAAGTTTGTAAGTAGTGACAAGCAAAGTCTGTCTAACTAAGTTTTGACATTTGATTTTGTTAAGGCGTTTTCGTTTTCGCCAACTAGAATGACGTACCAAACAACAACAACATGTCTGGTATCTTAAATAAAATTCTATTTTAGAATATAATTGATACAACAATGAACAAGTAAATCTTAAATTGTTAATTGATGAAAAAAATAATACAAATTGGAGTGAGCCAATGCTGCTTTTGCGTCATTTTGCGTCTCACCCATGGCCGTCTTGTTAAAGCCAAATTTCAAAGAGAGGCCTTAAACTACTAGAAATCAGGTGATTTCCGTCCAAGACTTTCTGACCGAAATAAGAGTATTTGGTCGCAAAAGTCAACAAAAATTTTCTGACAGCAAAAAAATAAAAATTTCGACCGATTTCGGTCGGAAATTGGCCAAATATTTGGTCATACTTGTATATAATGTACAAAAATAATTATTTATTAAACAAATTTCAAATTTTTGACCGAATTCGATCGGAAAGTTTGAAATAATTATTTTCCGCCCAAGACAAAAATTATATATATTTAATTAACCAACCGGAATAAGTTATAATTAAATATTTTCGACCGATTTCGGTTGGAAAAANGATGGCGCCTAATATTTCACTTGCTAGGCAAGCCAACGTTAGAAAATCGTTAAACCAATTCCTTTATATCCATTCAATAAATAATAATAATTAACTAAGATGAAATATAAGAGGTGCGAAATTTTATAAAACTGTATTAATTACTACCACCCAGATCTGAAGTCACAATTCACGGGCATTCTAGAATTTACTACAAGTAATAGTCTAGAAGAAATACAACTGTCTGAATGAAAAAAAATAACAGTGACATAAGAAGTAGACGGGGGACTTCAAGGTCTGTGAACGCCGACAGATCTACCTTGAGTCTCCGGATAGCGGACCAATAGCAAAATCTCGATCAACATGAGTCGGTATCAAAGTCTGCACAGAAAGTGCAGAGTGCAGCATCAGTACAACCGACCCCATGTATTGGTAAGTGTCGAACCTAACTTCGGTGAAGTAGTGACGAGGTTAGGACAAGATACCCACATATAACCTGAACAGTATAATCATGCTAGTGGCAACAACAATAAATAAAGAAATAACGCAGAAATAATGGGAAGGGAATATACAGTGGGGGGGAATACAACATAAAGAGTGAGAATAATGAAAAGACAGAATTAAACCGGAAATCCATAAACGAATTGAGCAATTAAAACAGGAAGGAAAACTGTACGGCATCACCCTTCGTACTTTTACTCTCAACCTCACCAAATAATAAATAAGACTGCACGGCATCACCCTTCGTGCTTTTACTCTCTTCCTCACAATATAAATAAATCATGCACGGCATCACCCTTCGTGCTTTACACTCTTCCTCACAATATAAATAAATCATGCACGGCATCACCCTTCGTGCTTTACACTCTTCCTCACAATATAAATAAATCATGCACGGCATCACCCTTCGTGCTTTACACTCTTCCTCACAATATAAATAAATCATGCACGGCATCACCCTTCGTGCTTTACACTCTTCCTCACAATATAAATAAATCATGCACGGCATCACCCTTCGTGCTTTACACTCTTCCTCACAATATAAATAAATCATGCACGGCATCACCCTTCGTGCTTTACACTCTTCCTCACAATATAAATAAATCATGCACGGCATCACCCTTCGTGCTTTACACTCTTCCTCACAATATAAATAAATCATGCACGGCATCACCCTTCGTGCTTTACACTCTTCCTCATAATTCAAAGAATCGATAACAACGGATAGAGAGAAGTTTCACAAAGAAATCAATATTTCATCAATGATTACTTTCACAATTTAATATCTCAACCTCGAATTAATATTCACAATTTTATCAACCTTGGTGGAACCGGATACAAGTCTTCCAACATTTCAACAACAACAATAAGCATGGATAACAAGATTTAAGACTACAAATTTGCAAGAATGAAATTTTACTCGCATGCAATGACTCGACCACAACGCATAGATACTCGTCACCTCAACTATACATCGTATTCAACAACAAAACATATAGCAAACACTCACACAATACCTATTCCCTCAAGTCAAAGTTAGACACAACACTTACCTTGCTCCGAAGGCCACTTAATTCTCAATCACAGCTTTTTCTTTGGAATTCACCTCCAAACCACTCGTATCTATTAAAAAATGACTACATAATATAAAATATTGCTAAAAGAGTCATTTATATTTCATAAATTAAATTTCCCAAATTTTTCCTCCAAAAAGTCAAAAAAGACCTCGGGCCCGCTTGGTCAAAAATCGAGGTTCGGACCAAAATCCTTTTACCCATTCATCCCCGAGCCCATATATATAATTGGTTTCGGAATCCGACCTCAAATTGAGGTCTAAATTCCCAAATTTCTGAAATCCCTAGTTTCTACCCTAACCCCTAATTCTACCATGAAAACTCTAGATTTTTAGTTGAAAATTCAATAAATATAATGGGTAATTAAAATAAAATGGTTTAGAATTACTTACCAACAATTTGGGGAAGAAATGGCTCTTGAAAAATTGCCTCTCACCGTTTGGTTTTTGAGAAAATGAATTTTTATCTAAAATCCCGTTTTTGGATTCTGTTAAGTGCTGGGCGACAGTGTTCATCGCATTCGCGAGAGCACTGTCGCGTTCGCGAAGGGTACTGGCTGCCAAGCATATGCGTTCGCGAGACCCAGCTCGCGTTCGCGATGGTTATTCCCCCCGGCCTTCGCGTTCGCGATGAAGGAACAACTGGCTCCCCCTCCCCAATGCCTAACACTACATGTTTATGATGGGCTTGTCGTGTTCGCGAAGGGTAACGCCCCCATCGCTTCGCGTTCGCGACCAAGCCTTCGCGTTCGCGAAGAAGAAATCTTCAGCTGCCCAGTTTACTCTTCGCGTTCGCGAGAGTACCTTCACGAACGCGAAGAAGGACATGCCAGAACACCTGCTGCAGCAAAATACCAGATTTCCCAAGTCTAAAACATCCCTTGGCCTATTCGAAACTCACCCGAGCCCTCGGGTGTAACGACCCGACTTGTCGTTTTAAGAATTAATATCCCGTTCAATGACTTAAGGTCTCAGGCAACTTCATTATATATATTATGACCCGCGGGTGTGGTCGAGTTTGATTTTCGAAAGATTTAGAATTTAATTGAAAGAGAAATTCTCATTTTGAAGCTTAAATGGAAAGAATTGACCAAAGAGTTAACTTTTGAGTAAACAACCTCGGAATAGAATTTTGATGATGTCAATAGCTTAGTATGGTGATTTCAGACTTAGGCACGCGTTCGGATTTGTATTTGGAAGTCCGTAGGACACTTCGACGCATTTTGGCGAAAGTTGGAAAATAGATGATTTTCGGAAAGTTCGATCGAAGTTTGAATTTTTGATAACGAGGTCGGAATCCGATTCTGGAAATTTGAATAGGTCCATTATTT